GAGTGCAAAGGTTTACTACACCACGTCATCATTGTCACGTGGTGTAACCGCCCAATGATAAACCAACAAATTGACAAAATAGATCCCACTATTTCAAATAATCACTCCTCCACGTAGGATAGTAATCACCACATATTCAAAAAGTGGGATTCACTTATCCATTTATCATTAGTCGGTTACACTACGTGACAATACTGACGTAATATAACCATTACACCCAATATTTACTCTAAAAAGTGGGGTTTACTTGCCCACTTATTTGTTTTTAATAAAACGGTTACACCACGTGACAATGTGAACAAGTGGATACAACATGGGATAGTTACTACATGACATTGATGAATAGTTATTTAATTATGAGAGATTTATTTGTTCACGCATTATGGTATTGAACGGCTACATTACGTTAACATAATGACTGTGATGTAACCATAACCCTAATTTCGTGTAATAGATTAAATTGATGACAGAGTGAATAGGTACTGTAAGTGAATGCATTTAAAACTGGATGTAACAAGAAGCAAAAAGTAGCTGAATCTCTTTATTTATTCACACAGAACGGCTACATTAACGGCTACATTTTGTTAACATAATGACCTGATGTAACCATAAACCTAATTTCGTGTAATAGGTTAAATTGATGACAGAGTGCATAGGTACTGTAAGTGAATGCATTTAAAACTGGATGTAGCAAGAAGCAAAAAGTAGCTGAATCCCTGTTTTTTTTTTGTGCTGTCATAGTAGTTGAGATTTGAGAGCAGTGTCAATATGAGAGAGAAAGTTCTGGCCGTTGAGAATAGACAAGTTAACATCCAACTGCCTGGGACAGATTTATACGTTGAAAATGTATGTTGAGATTGGTGTGGCTTTAAATTTCATGAAAATTACAAGTCAGACGGATGCTGCAGAGGTAGATGGGAAATAGAGCAATGCTATAAAGACATAATGACAATGACGTGGTTTCGAAATAACTATTAGATCAGTTGTGAATTTTAATATTAGATAGAGTTCATTATTAATTTAATGATTGTATTCAATAAAGTCCCAAATTAAGCTTAAATAGTATTTTTCATGAAAATAATGTTTTAATCCGAAAATCATTGGATAATTACACAACGTGACAAAGCTGAAGTGAACGTAGTAGTGTAACCGCCCAATCAGAGTGTTGCGTGATCTTTGAAAATTGGGAGTTTTTAGTGATACTAGTTAAGTATCAATTGGAGTGTTATCGGTGATACTGATAAAAGAGTAATGTTATTCAAACTTGAAAATTTAATATAATTTATTAATTTAATAATATAATTTTATTGAAACCATTAAATTAATATCAAGTTCTAATGTTTAATGAGATTTATAGTTAATTCAAATACTATAATGAATTGTATCAACAAATTAAATTAATAAATTAAATCTCAATAACATTACTCTTAAAAAATATTGGAGTAATTCCCTTTTANTGTTGGATTATGTTCAGTAGGACTAATTTTCTTGGTGGATTTTGTTGTAGGTTAACGACAGTAAAACAATTGGCTAACAAATTCCTATCTTTTGAATTCTGAAGATAAGTGCTCTATTCACATTATTAGTTGTGTATTTGTCTCAATGATGCCATTGAGTAGCTTGGGTAGAAAATAGAAAATATAAATTAAGTTTGGGGCTTAGATAGCTAAGAAGAGAATGCAGATAAGATGCCGTAAAGGTGTTCGACCAAATGCCACAACCCCTCTCTCTCTCTCCCTTAACTTTTGTGCACACCCTCAACGCAAATCCACCCCACCCACCCATCCACACGGACAACACAGACACGTGCACAACACACCAACCAATGACACACACAAACGCATAACACACAGGCACACAAACAAAGCATTTTCATTTTAGTCATGGGTGGGCATACACTATTTTACTCTTCATATCATTGGAAGGTATTCTTCAATTTTTTCGGGGAAAGTGTGTTCAATTTGACAGTGGCAGTCGGAATGGCCGACGTAAACAGGTAGAATTTTGTTTACTGTAGATTTTATGACTTCTTGGAACAAAGGGCGTTCTCAATGTTAAAGAAAGTTTATTGTTTTTGTATTTATAATATAAAATAGGACAGATTTCAATAAGTTTATTTAACGGTCTCAAATAGACTCATCTAACGGCTATCAACATCCCTCTCAAAATCATTCACATTGTATCGTGTCTTCATAGACGGGTTACCCCTAATTTATACTATATATGCATTATCACGTGGTGTAATCGTTTAATAATAACTTAAACAGTTAGACAACATGAACCCCACTCCTTTAAATAACCACCCATTCATGTAAGATGATAATCACTACATATTCAAAAAGTGGAGAAAATGTTGAGTGCAAAGGTTTACTACACCACGTCATCATTGTCACGTGGTGTAACCGCCCAATGATAAACCAACAAATTGACAAAATAGATCCCACTATTTCAAATAATCACTCCTCCACGTAGGATAGTAATCACCACATATTCAAAAAGTGGGATTCACTTATCCATTTATCATTAGTCGGTTACACTACGTGACAATACTGACGTAATATAACCATTACACCCAATATTTACTCTAAAAAGTGGGGTTTACTTGCCCACTTATTTGTTTTTAATAAAACGGTTACACCACGTGACAATGTGAACAAGTGGATACAACATGGGATAGTTACTACATGACATTGATGAATAGTTATTTAATTATGAGAGATTTATTTGTTCACGCATTATGGTATTGAACGGCTACATTACGTTAACATAATGACTGTGATGTAACCATAACCCTAATTTCGTGTAATAGATTAAATTGATGACAGAGTGAATAGGTACTGTAAGTGAATGCATTTAAAACTGGATGTAACAAGAAGCAAAAAGTAGCTGAATCTCTTTATTTATTCACACAGAACGGCTACATTAACGGCTACATTTTGTTAACATAATGACCTGATGTAACCATAAACCTAATTTCGTGTAATAGGTTAAATTGATGACAGAGTGCATAGGTACTGTAAGTGAATGCATTTAAAACTGGATGTAGCAAGAAGCAAAAAGTAGCTGAATCCCTGTTTTTTTTTTGTGCTGTCATAGTAGTTGAGATTTGAGAGCAGTGTCAATATGAGAGAGAAAGTTCTGGCCGTTGAGAATAGACAAGTTAACATCCAACTGCCTGGGACAGATTTATACGTTGAAAATGTATGTTGAGATTGGTGTGGCTTTAAATTTCATGAAAATTACAAGTCAGACGGATGCTGCAGAGGTAGATGGGAAATAGAGCAATGCTATAAAGACATAATGACAATGACGTGGTTTCGAAATAACTATTAGATCAGTTGTGAATTTTAATATTAGATAGAGTTCATTATTAATTTAATGATTGTATTCAATAAAGTCCCAAATTAAGCTTAAATAGTATTTTTCATGAAAATAATGTTTTAATCCGAAAATCATTGGATAATTACACTACGTGACAAAGCTGAAGTGAACGTAGTGGTGTAACCGCCCAATCAGAGAGTTGTGTGATCTTTGAAAATTGGGAGTTTTTAGTGATACTAGTTAGGTATCAATTGGAGTGTTATCGGTGACACTGATAAAAGAGTAATGTTATTCAGACTTGAAAATTTAATATAATTTATTAATTTAATAATATAATTTCATTGAAACCATTAAATTAATATCAAGTTCTAATGTTTAATGAGATTTATAGTTAATTCAAATCCTATAATGAATTATATCAACAAATTAAATCAATAAATTAAATCTCAATAACATTACTCTTAAAAAATATTGGAGTAATTCCCTTTTATTATAGTGAGGATTTGTGAGTTTGGAAATAAATATTTTGCACTCTTGTTTTGCTCCATAGTGAAAAAATTACATTGTTAACGTGGACTTAGGTTATTAGCCGAACCACATAAATTACGTGTGTCTTATGTGATTGCTCTTTTATTTTTGAGATAATCGTACTTTTAGTTTCTAAAGTATATTCATTTTGTCAGTATTGTCTTCATTATATTAATTCTATCAATTTGGTCTCTAATCAGACAATTTTTTAAATATTTTTTGACCGAAATGACCATTTGTCATTCTTTCAAACAGTATTACGTATCCAATACATGATCATTCTGTCAAAAACTTAACAGTACATCATCTATATAAGGATCATTTAAACACAAATTAAATATTTTAGAGATCAAATTAATAAAATTAATACTTTATGAACCAAACTAATAAAATATGTAANATCGGTTACACTATGTGACAATACTGACGTAATATAACCATTACACCCAATATTTACTCTAAAAAGTGGGGTTTTGTTCACACATTATGGTATTGAACGGCTACATTATGTTAACATAATGACTGTGATGTAACCATAACCCTAATTTCGTGTAATAGATTAAATTGATGACAGAGTGAATAGGTACTGTAAGTGAATGCATTTAAAACTGGATGTAACAAGAAGCAAAAAGTAGCTGAATCTCTTTATTTATTCACACAGAACGGCTACATTAACGGCTACATTTTGTTAACATAATGACCTGATGTAACCATAAACCTAATTTCGTGTAATAGGTTAAATTGATGACAGAGTGCATAGGTACTGTAAGTGAATGCATTTAAAACTGGATGTAGCAAGAAGCAAAAAGTAGCTGAATC